TTTCAAGTGTTAGGATAAGGCCGAGATGAGCAAGATTAAAAGTTGTGACAGAGATATTTTACCCGAAGAGATTGCACAGTCAGGTGTACTTTGAAGACATGCAAATTATTCTAAGTGTAAAATCATACAAGAGCAGAAAAAAGAAGACATTCATTCAAAAGAAGAAATTAGAGAAATGCATTTAAAGAAGAAAGAAGGCACTTCGGCCTGAATATTGAAAAATAAATTATTCAGACTACAAAAATGGCACGTCGGCCGGATTAAAAGCATACAAAGAAGGACAAAGTACAAGGTACAAGCTACAAGGAGTAAAAGAAGGAAACAAAACTACTTGGCATCAATGGTAGGATATAGAAGACAGTTGGGAAGACTTCTCAGCAGCTTTCTCGGCCTCGAGCTCAGCATCGATCTCCCGAAAAGTTTGATCAAAGCTCTTCTCGGCGATTGGTACCTCGGAGTTTGAAGGCAAGGATTGAAAGCAAGAATCTGGAAAAATACACAGAAAATAGAAACAAGAATGTAATTCGTAATCAAGAATGGTGATGAAGCTATCAGGAAATCAAGACAAAAAGATTGCACAGGTGTGTCAAGCCAAGAAACAGTGGCAGAAATCAACAGATGTGTGAACAGTGTGTATTCAAGAAGATGATTTGGAAACAACGGGCAAAACAACAATGGTGATTAACAATGAAGCAGAGCTTCTTGGAAAGCAACAAGAAATAAAACCAGGAGGAATAGCGGCTTACCAGAAAGAGGGAAGCCGAAATGAGAATTGCCGAAGTCTGACGACGGATGCGAAAATGACAGAATGACGTAAGCTTCACCGGAGGAGAGGAACGAAAACAGTTGCAGAGCTTGAAAGCTTGGAACAATGACGGATTTAAGCAAAAGAGCTAGAAAGAGAAAAAGCCAGAGGATTGAATGAAAAAAGAAAAAAACCAGAGTCAAAAAGACGACAAAGTTCAAGAATAAAGCCAAGTGCACAGGCACTAAGTAAGTATGTGAAGAACAAGAAAGTAATGAGCTAGACACGATGCTAGCAACAGAAAGCGGATATGGCAAGAACAGTGCCAGGCGTTCAAACAATTCAAAACTTGAAAACAGACGAAAATAGAAGACAACAGAGTGCAAGTAAACGGATTCAGAAGAGTTATGAAAGATTGAGTTTAATAAAAGAGTTTATGAACCTACCAAGAGAAATGAACGCCGATATAAAGATCGCCGGAGTCAAATAGATGACTGAAAGTCGGGAACCCACCGAAGAATGTGAGTGGAGCAGTTGCAAAGCTCTTGGAGTTTACGAATTAATGGAACAAGAACCTCGGCTAGGAGGTGTGATCTCGAGCAGCTTGGAAAGTATGAAGCTTGGTACTTGACAGAAGTGGACAGTAAAGTCCAGGGAACTTTGAGGTCGGCGAGTTTGATCTTGGACAGAGGGGCACAGATGAACGAACAGTGTAGGTTCCATCACCTCAGAATATCGAGGTAATAGAACCTAGGGGGCAGTTGTGGGGATATATTTTTTGAGTACCAACACGTGGCCAAGGTGACGACGACGTGTCAGCCGAGGTGCCACGTGTCCTAGTTGTTATGCTGAGGTTATCTCAGATAGGCCAAGGTTACCTCCGAAGATATCGGAATCTGAGATAAAAGGATGAGGGGCAAGAGTCCTAGAATGAGAGAAGACTTCAGTTTGTATTAAGATAAGACTCTTAGAGAGTTTATCCTAATCTTACTGGGAGTCCAAGATTAGCAGTAATCTTGAGTCCATAGAAGTTAGGCTTCTATTGGGACTAGGTTTATGTTGGTTATAAAAGAGAGGCACCGCATGGGTCTAAGGTATGCTTTTGATACTCAAGCTTGTGAGTTTAGCACTTGATTTATCTTTGAGAGATATACTGACTTGATCGTCGGAGTGCCCCCGGGTGGACGAACCACCGCCGGAATCTTTTCTTTCTGTTGCAGGTCAGCCAAGTGCCATCTATTCTGCCTGTGCTCTCCAACTGGTTACTAATCGAGCAGTGTGGTTAGAAAATCACTCACACACTGCCCAATCAGCATTTGTATACCCCTTAACATCTAGATGATCATGTTTAGAAAACATTAAACCCTTACCAGATGCGAATTTCAAATACTTGAAGATCCCGATGAATAGCATCCATATGGGCTTCATTAGGTGAATGCATAAACTGACTCACCACACTTACAGCATAAGCCAAATCTTGTCGTGTGTGAGATGAGTAAATCAATCTCCTAACTAACCTTTGGTACCTCTCTTTATTAGATGAAACCTGATCAACATTGTCATTCCCCAATCTGTGATTTTGCTCAATTGGAGTATCAATAGGTTGGCAAGCTAGCATTCTGGTTTTGCTCAATAGGTCCAAAACATACTTTCTCTGAGATAGGAAAATACCCTGCCTAATTGATACACATGGCTAACCTCTAAAACAGGTGATTTTTACAAGTCCAAGTAATATAGACCCCCACTTTCTCTACCAAGACCAATCGTCTTCTTCGTAAGAATATCCTAAAAAAGACAGTAAGTGGAAAAAAAGGTTACACAACAATTTAGATGCTTGGTAATCTGGTTGATAGACAATAAATTATTAGAGAGGCCAAGAACATGTAGGCCTGATGAAAGAGATAGAGAAGATGATAAAGGAATAGAACTAGCCCTAAGAACTGGGGTAGAAAGACCGCTAGCAACCTTAACAGTATTTCTAGGAGAAGTGGTATAGGAAGCAAACAGTTTAGAGTCATTAGTCATATGATCTGAAGCTCCTGAATCTATGATCCAAGGGTTAACAAAAGGAACAAGAGTGGTACTCAAAGTGAATCCAGAATTACCTGTGCTGGCTAAGGAAGTAGAAAGCATTATTAGCCAAAGAAACTTATTGAGTAGATTGATCTACTAGAGAAGGGACAGAAGCTTGAGAGTCTGTAGAGGTATGATGAGCTTGAGGTCCTAGATTGCTCCCCTATTTTTTTTTTTTGTAGTTCCCTTTTTTTTCCGAACAAACCACTCTGGATACCCATTCAATTTAAAACTTGTTTCTCGCACATGATTGGTACCGTTACAGTAGGTGCAGTTCCTGTTGCAAGAATTTTTTAACCTACAAAATACTGATGGTGATTGAAAATTACCAGAAGTCATATCTGAACCCATCAGCAAAGACTGAGGAGAAGCACCAACCAACATAGCAGATCCATTATGAAATTTTCAAGCCATCATAGTAGTTTGACGAAGCTCTTCACGGCGTACAAAGGCGAAAGCATTACGAAGATTGGGAAGAGGATCTTGAGCCAAGACTTGACTCCGAACCTGGTCCAAACTAGGATCAAGACCAGCCAAAAAATCATATAAACGATCCTTCTCAATCTCCTTTTTCTGGGTGGCAACATCTGTGGCACACTTCATTACACTCGGACGAAGGTAGTCCAATTCCTGCCAAATAAGTTGAAGAGCACCATAGTAATCAGCCACAAACTTGCCATTCTGGCATGTCTCATGAGCCTGGCATCGAAGTTCATACATATGTGAAACATCCTTGCCAACAAAATAGGTTTGGAAAACTGTATCCCAAACATCATGAGCAGTAGAGAGACAAAGAAAAACAACCCTAACGTTAGAGGTCATTGAATTAAGAAGCCAAGATTTAACCATGGCATTATCTTCCAACCAAGTAGAGTAAGCAGCATTTGTTTCATCGGTTTTAAGTTTTTTTTTTTCCTAGTTAAATTCTGCACTTTTCCTCTTCCTGTGATATACATCTCCACACTCTGAGACCACATGGAGTAATTTGAGCCATCCAATTTGTCTAGGGTGATTTCTAGAGACATGTTGTCCTACTGCACAATCATAGTTGTCGGAGAAGGGGTAGCAATAAATTTTTTGTCGCCCATGTTGAGAGTGAATGGGAAGAATAGCAATAATCGGCAGAAAGATTGCATAGCAGCGATAGTAAAGTAGTTTCCAGCGACAATGGCAACGGCAAACTTTTCAAACCAGATCAGAATTGGTCGGGTAATATGTTAGGGTAAAAATCATTGGAGGAAAAACAGAGGAAAAGTTTTAGGATCAATGCTTTGATACCATGCTGGAATAGAGCAGATTATTTTATTCTTCTCCAATATGGAGGTATATATAGCTATACAAGGCAATACAAAAAAGGAAAAGATTTACAATTAACTAATACAGCTAATCTAATTAATAGCTACTATAAATAACTAAAAAAGGACAACTAACCCCTAAATGTACACACATTAACAATAAGTAAAAATAATTTATAAAAATTTATATAATCTTATTCTACCCTTAATTATTTTGAAGAGTGCTACTAATGGTCCATATCTTTTCTCTTTGAGCCCCATCTAAATATTTTACTTTTTATTTATTTTTCTTTAAGGGTCTTTTACACATGCTAAACAAACTTAAAAAGATTGTACTCTTTATTACACTCACTTTCATGCAAGATGTACAATTCTTTTAAACTTCTCAACATGTGCCTTAAGGATAAATGTTAACAAAATCATTTCTTTAAGCACCAATCTTAATCCCAATTCTATGTGTCCCATTGGTCCCATTCAGCCTTTCAACATTGGCAAGCCTCTTTAGAAACTCCACCATGACAACTTGAAGGACTACTGTCTCCCAATGATTCCTAGAAAGAGTGGCATGGTGGTAGCAATAGTCGGAGGTGGTGGCTTGGCGGTGGTGTAGGGTTAAGATTTAGAAGGATAAGGACAGGGTAAGGGATAAGAATTAGTAAAAAGTGGGGGTGCAAAAAAAAAAAAAGTAGAGGCAAAAAGCAGCACCCTTATTTAACTATGTTGTTGCTTGCTTACGGGACTTGGGTATGGGCTGTCCTACCTTACCTTTCTTTTATTATGACTGATACTGATAGGTCCTGCTTAATGAAGTTATGTTCTTTCCTAAGTGTGAGAGAGAGAGAGAGAGAGAGAGAGAGAGAGTAAATAACTAAATATATAAATAGGTGGACTGAAAGAAACTCTCATACTTGAGTTCCTAGTGATATTTTACTTCAAATGAACTGTATAATATGCATTGTTGCATACATGACAAGATTAGCTCTATTCTAACAAGCAAAAAAGGCTGTACATAACACACTAATTACAAAAGCAGCTTACAAAACAGGACTAAATAGGAGGATGGATTGGATATCCATGAAGAAATCTGATGGTCGTCTAACATTAAGATTGCTGCGCAGCCAGCACTAAAATTAATCCTTGTTACTAGTAGCAGACGACATGCGATCTTTCCTATGCTTATTACGCCTATGGCCACCAACACCAAGAATACGAGAAATTTGTAGACCTCTGCTGAATGCTTGGTTGAACAGCATACGGGTTTGGAATTCTGAAACAAAAGGAAACCAGGCGAGAAATGCAACTGGAGTGAAAAGAAACAAACCCATCACAATTTCATAGCCACGGGCAAGCGTTTGAATTGATCCCCACAACCCAGCTCGTTGTACAAGAGGCTTGCAAGCTTGAGCAATCTGGACCAAAGGGAACGAACAAAGGCACATCAACTAAGCTTATATACAAAAACAAAGTTCACACAACCAACAAAGCATATTATGTATATCGACAAAATTATGAGCGGCAAGAAAGATTACAATGCTAAAATCAGTTTACAGAATTAGGTTCCACCACTTAAAAATTATTACTTCATAAAAAAGATCTAAATCAACAGGTTTATAGGTGCTCCGTTCTGTCACTTTGATCCTAAAGTTTTAATTTTGTTAATTTCATCCATAAAATTATAAGTTTAAGTCAAATTTCAAATTGTCCATTAAATTGTTAACAAAATGATAATGAAATACACTGTAGTCCCTTAAAGTATGAGTTTCGTGTAAATATGGCTCCCAAAGTTTTAATTTTGATACTTTGGTCCCTAAACACTATGAAGAAGACGAATCATTGATTTACAATATTGAGGGACAAAATAGACAAAACGAAAACTTTGGCAACTAAAGTGACACAATAAGCATTCTTTAGGCAGAATAGGTGGATTTTGTAATTATTCTGTTAATGATTTTGATAATTGTTTGTAATTGGACCAATTTGACTTAAATTGAAAACTTTAGGGATGAAATTAACAAGATTGATAAAATTGGAGAACTAAAATAGACACAACACACAAACTTTAGGAACCATAGGTCCATAGGTGTATTTTATTTTTTTGATTTTGTCCCATAGAAGATCGACTCCTGCACCATGCAGGACCGGGAGCAAATAGTATGCTGCTTCTTTGCATTGTGAAAAGAAGAGAAAAAAAAAGAAAAGGAACTCCTGCCCTAGAGCCACCTGGCAAGGTGCCTTGCCTTAAATATTGGTTTCTTATGATCTGTCATCATATGAAGTATGATTTTACGCAATCAAAATCTTCTAATTGTGGTTGGCCTAAGGATGTGTCCAGCACCACCCTAAAGATGAAGCATGATAGTTCTGGAACTTGCTAAACTAAGCCAAAGTTTGAAACAAATAAAATTTAATGATAGTTACAAAGTATATAAAACTACAAATAAATAATTGCAAAATGAAACCAACATATTTCACTGACCAGAAGCAAACCCCAACCAGTTGGCATGAAGGCAAGAATGCACACTACAATATCTTGCATCGTCATATGGGGGAGTGCAATCAGAGTAATGAGAATGGAGACAAACGTAAGAAAGATCAATCCCTTGATTAGCCGAAACATGAGCTGGAAATCTGCACCGAACTTTCGCCGTGCAACAGAAACAGTCTGAGGGAATATTAAACAGAAGAAGCTAATCAAATGAGGAAAAGTGGCCAGAAATGCTATATTGACATGATTAGTCCACTGAAAATTGCAATAATCCCAGGCTTCAAAAAGAATTGCTTTATATTCTATAATTGGATTTATATTGCAAAACTCAAATTCTAAGCCAATAAGTCATATATAATATCACAAATAACAATCAAATTCTAACAGGAAAGTAGCAGTTACTTTGTCCGGAGGTACATGTTTAACAGATGAGCTATCGCATAGAAAACAAACTCAATTCATTTTCTTTTCTTTCCTTTCCTTCAAGGACTTTTATATAGAAATGTCAAATAAACATACCCAAAAAAAGAAAAAAGAAAAAAGAAAAGAAGATTATTAAGGGAAGCACGCTCTCGCGCGCGCACACACACACACAAAATTATTGCCTTGTTTGACTTCATATTACTATGAAATATGTTTATGTTCTTGTTATTTAGTTTAGTCATTAATGGTTATTATTAGTACTTAGGCTTTTAGGGTTTCATTACGGATAGTTTAGTCCTATTATCTATAATTAGGCTTTTAGGGCATTTTTGATTAGTAGAATTATAGCATAAGATTGGAATTGTTAGTCCATGAACTCACAATCCTATGTTTGATTGCAAATTTTATTAACCGGATTACATGTATGACAAACATTTAATCTGACAAAATTGGCAAATTTTTAATATTGAGAGGGGTTGGGGATCATAATTTCAAGTATGAAAGAAAAAAAATAAAATGAATACATAATAAATGTTTATCTCACTAATTTAATTGGATAATTGATCCTACACTAATTCATGGGATTATTAATCATTTCATTATTAATCTTGTTAATCAAACAAGGCCATAGGGTTTCATTAAGGGCAGTTTAGTCCTATTATTGGTAATCAGGCTTGATTCAGTTTGTGGCCTGTTTGACTCATCCTGTGGCCTGCTCGTGCCCTCCATTTGTCTTGGTTTTGAGCTGCCTTGTTTTGACTCAAGCTGTGGTTAGTTTGTGACTTTCATTTGCTTCGGTTCTTTGTGTTGTTCTACTTCGACTGCTTTGCAAGGCCAATGGAAGCCCCCCTAGCAACTAAGCATTCTGATGCTGGAAACCAGTGGTCAAGCACAGTTCACAATTTGCAGCATCATCACAGTAGCATCATTGCAGCAGTTGTTCGCAGCTTTAGTTCTTTGCAACTTCAGTCCTACTTCAGTTCGGCAATCGCAGTTCGCAGCCCTTGTTCGGAGTCTTGATGAATTGTTCTTGATTGCAATTTTGTCATTTATCTCGGTTCTTCGATTGAGACTGGAGCTACGAATGGGAGTTAATGTTTGAGTTTTTGGTACTGGTTTGCCCCGACTTTTTTGCTATTCATGGCTTCCCATCTGAACATTTCTTCTCAGGCTTCTGCTATGACCACCACTTTGTCAGGTTTGCATAGTTCTTTTACCTCAGGTATCCTCTCTACCACATGGATTTTTTACTCTGGTTGTTCTCATCATATGACCCCTGTTTTGTTTCTTCTCAGCAATTGTGTTTCTCCCTCCTTCCCCATTACTATTGCTACTGCTAATGGATCCCCTATCTCTGTTAGTTCGATTGGTTCCATCTCCTCTTCTCTCTTGTCCCTTCCTCATGCTTTATGTTCCTCAACTATCTCTAAGTCTCCTCTCTATTAGTCAAGTATCTGATTCAGGTTATGATGTTCTCTTTTCTTCTTCTGATTGTGTAGTGCAAGATCAGGCATCTAATGAGGCAAATTGTGTTTGGACGTAGAGTTGGTGAATTTTATGTCTTTGGAGCACTTTCATCTGCCTCTAACATCTCCTTCAACTGCTATGTCATCTTTTTATTTAAATCACCAGTCCTTTCCTTTTTACCTTTTGCATTCTCGACTAGGGCATTTATCTAGTGATCGTTTGAAACTTTTAGTAAAATCTGGTCATATAAGTAAGTCTCTATTAGTGACATTTCATAATGCAGTGGGTGTAAGTTTGCAAAGATGTCTGCTCTCCCCTTTCCAAAAAGTAGTTTTATTTCTTCAGCCCTTTTTCAATTGGTACATACCAATTTGTGGGGACCTTTGCCAATTGCTACAAGGGGTGGTTCCCAGTATTATGTATAGTTTGTGGATGACTTTAGCCGGTTTACATAGGGTTTACTAGATGATCTAAAAATCTTATTTCTATAAGACTCACTATAATTTTCACTCCATGCTCAACACCCACTTCTCTACCACCATTAAAATTCTCCGTTCTAATTTGGGTGTGAGTTCTTCCTTTTTGAGTTTGCTAAGTTCTTAGCTACACATTGTACAATTAATCAACCCTCTTGTTCTGATACTCTTGCATAGAATGGTTGAGTTGAAAGAAAACCTCGACATCTCCTTCACACCGCTCGATCCATTATTCTCTCCTCGTCCGTCCCTTCCATCTTTTGGGGAGAATCTGTACTTACCGTTGCCTATCTTCGTAATCGCATGCCTGACCTTCTTCTCTCTGGTGCTTCTCTATACGAGCGCCTCTTTGGTGAGATTTCTAATTATTCTCTTCTTCGTGTATTTGATTCTACTTGCTTTGTTTTTCTTCCCCAATGGGACTGTTCTAAACTTAGCTCGCATCATGTCTTATGTGTTTTCTTGGAATATAGTATTCATCAGAAGGGTCACTATTGTTATGATCTTGTGACCAAAAAGCTTTGTGTGTTTCGGCTTGTCATCTTTCTAGAGAAATTACCTTCACCATTCATTCCACTCCTGCTCTCATTGCCAAGGATGAATTAGTTCACATATTGATCCATGGCCTCCCGATGTACCCCCAGATGAGTTTGTCTCTGACCTTGAGGTGTCCACTTTGCCTTCTACTAGTGCTCCAGATCCTTCTTCTACTCCTCTCCTTGTTTACAAACGTCACAAAGTATCGTCAAGCTCCCATTCCTCTAACTCTACTGCACCTTCCGTTGCCTGCTGGTAAGAATCTTGTGGGTTGCAAATGGGTCTACAAGGTCAAGATTCTTTCTAATGGCTCTTTGGAATGTTACCAAGCCCGTTTGGTTGCAAAGGAGGGGTTTCTCAAGAGTATAAGATAGATTACGAAGAGACTTTTGCTCCCGTTGCCAAGATTTCATACTTTTATCTCTGTTGCTACTACCTATCAATGGCCTTTGTTTCATTTAGATGTCAAGAATGTTTTTCTTAATGGATATCTTGTAGAGGAAGTGTATATGTGACCTCCAACTGGTCTTTCTCATCCTCTAAGTCTTGTTTGCCATAATCACCATGCCCTCTATAGTCTCAAGCAGTCTACATGGGCATGGCATGAGTGGTTTCAGTCTGTTGTTCTCAAGACTGGTTTTTGTCCAAGCCTACATGATTCGGCACTTTTTGTTCATCATATTTCTGCTAGTCTTGTTCTTCTTCTCCTATATATGGATGATATGATCATCATTGGGTCCAACTCTAGTACTATTTAGGAGGTTAAGCAATGAGGTTTTTAGAAATTTGAGATAAAGGATTTGGGGTCCTTTTGGTATTTACTTGGTATTGAGGTTGCCGATATCTTTTGTTTTAGACTAAATATGCTAGTGATAACCTTTCTCGTACCAATCTCCTAATGCCAAGACTGTGGATACTCCTATTGAATTGCATGCTAAGTTTTTTGCTTTCGATGGAGTTCTTCTTTAGGATCCTACTATGTATTGTGAGTTGGTCGGTTGTCTTGTTTACCTCACTGTAACAACTCGCCTGGATGTCTCTCTTATACTGTCCACATTCTCAGCCAATTTGTCTCTGCTCTTCGTTCCACCCATTGGGTTGCCTTGTTACGTGCTCTTTGCTACATTTGGTAATTGTTGCGATGCTTATTATTGTCTTCCTTTGTCATTTTGTTCGGTAGTATCTTCAGGTTGGCACTTTAACTCTTCCTTTTGTTCCCTTCTCTCTCCAGTTGGCCGATTGCTTTACGAAGACTCACTACTACCCACTTTTGTTTTCTTCTTAACAAACTTTCGATGCTCTCTGCACTCCCATCCTCAGTTTGGGGTGTGTGTGTGAAATATGTTATGTTTATGTTCTTGTTATTTAGTTTAGTCATTAAGGATAGTTTAGTTTTATTATTTGTAATTAGGCTTTTAGGGTTTTATTAAGGGTAGTTTAGTCCTATTATCTGTAATTAGGCTTTTAAGGTTTTGGTTGTTTTCCTATTTATGTTGTACTTCATTTTTGGCTATTATTTTTTCAATACAAACATATGTTTTGCTTTCAACTTTGTATGAAACTTACAAGTGAATCACAACCACCTAAAAAGGAATTCACAAGAGTTTGATATTGACAGCTTGCTTCTACCAATATAACAATAAATGTGGTACCTTCATTCCATAGAGAATGTAATTTCTTAAGTCCTGTTTTCCCAAAACATTTATAGCAGAATTGTGAGGAATTTGCCTCTTACCTTCATCACAAACAAGATTAGAAGGATAGCCAGCCATGATATGCCATATACCTGTGACCCATAGACACACAGTTACAATAAAAAATCTATCTGATGTTATCACTTTGAAAGAGAACATAGGCATCACAAATCAGCAGCAATTTACATACCAGAAAACTTTTCGTACTCTTTGTGATGGTCAAGTGATAAACAAGCCCATATTGGTAGATAAAAAATCGTAAAGCTAACAATATCTCGGCAGCTATACCCGACTTTCCAGAATGACGAAGATGTTCTTGTTCCAGCCCCCACCAAGATTCCCAACTTTTTTCTGGGGGTACACCAATACCACCTTGGTTGCTTATCCACTTATTCCAATCAGTCCAATCATCCACAATCTTTTGCCACTCAAAACCAGAAGGATTGAAGAGGAAGGGCGCAAAAAGCCAGGTGCCCACCATGATCCACATTGATATTGTGATCAAAACATAAGCAACTGCACTTCTATAGGTTTGACCAAAAATTTGGTAGACAATTAGCAGTATCATTAGCTCAAGTCCCTTGACAAAGTGACTACGGGAGTAGAGACGATAGTTCTCAGCAAATTTGGCATGAAACACCACAAACCCTCGACCTGTACGCCTGTATTTTGCTCCTCCATGGAGTAAAGTCCTTCCAAAATAGTGGGTCTTTGTTCCAAGAGTAAATGTGAAAAATACTGGTGCCAGTTGTAGCTGCATTAGTATGAATTCACTTAGTGCAGTTCGGAAGCCCCTTTCTAATCCAATCTCCATCAACATAGGCAAGGCCATCAAAAATCCAATTTGCACAAATGATTGAGAAGCAAGAGCCACTTGGAGAGGCTTATTGTCTCGAATTGCTGGTTGTTTGTTCAGCGCCTCCTCAAGCCCACTAAGAAGAAGATAAAGGCGGCCGTAAAGGAATACATATACAGTGAGAACAGTAATCTGCAAGAAGAAATATGAAGAAGCTCAGAAAACAAAGATAATTTAAACCTGTGAAGAAAAGAGTATAATTGCAACATACCAAGGTATTGAAATAGGAACCAACTGTGGTGAAGTAACATGACAACATTCGAAAAAAGTCAAAACGGTGTCCAAGCCTGTATAGATCACGACTCAATGCCTGCTCTCCATTGCCATTAGCAATTTTTGCCTCAAATTGAGAAATCTGGTTAAGGCCCACATCTCTTCCTTTCCCAACTTGTATGTATTCATGATGAGTAACATTTCCTTCACGAAGTGTAGAATTGAAGCCTGCATTCAGGTGCCATCACAAGAGCTATTTGGTAAGACAAGATTAGTACCTCCTTCCCTCCACCTCCAAAAGAGAAGAAGAAAAAACTGGAAATACAAAATTAGAGAACTTGAGAGGATGGGCATACCAGCGAATATATCCTCACTTAAGTTAATAGTGTTGGATGCTTTGCTAACACCTCCCCTTGTAAGGTGAAATACCCTATCAAAAACATCTGGATGACCATAATGAAACCGAACCCTGAATGAGCAGAAACCAAGATAAGTAATGTGGAGCATCAAATGAGAGAAATACAGGTTTCCTAAAGAAAAATAGCCTTAGCTCAGCACATTGAATACCAACAAACCTTTATGCATACAAAAGAAACAATGATGAGGGGGTTTCCCTAAAGGAAAATACTGAAGTTTTAGGCATAGGAAGGAACATCATAGAGTTTTTATACAAACATAGAAAGTCAATGAAGGATCAAAATAGGTAGGATCCTAGCAAACTTTACAATGTACACTGTGAAACATACATTATTTTTTGGTATTATATATTTTTGGTATCTTTCTTAACACCTAAGTCCTCACCTGGTTTCACGATTCTGCGGAGCCTAGTATCGCTATGAACTTTTCCAAATTTCTTATTGCACAAAAAGTTTGGAATTATCTGCAGACTCTATATCTTGAATCTAATTACGCTAAGCAATACGAGTTGGAGATGTCCATTCAGAGTACTTTGCAAAGAGATAAATCTGTTAAGGAATTCCACAATGAGATGACAGGGTATTGGGATCAACTGGTTCTTATGGAACGTCCTGAATTACAGCTGTTAGACAACTATATACAGTACAGGAAAAAGCTGAGGCATTTTTTGCCCAAATTCCCAGCTATTCTGTCATTCATGTGTTTGGGTTTTGTCCTACTTCCTCAGCCGGAGTGTACAAAACATAGTGCGCGATCGGTATTATGTGCATTCTTAGGTTATGGGGTTCATCAGAAAGGGTATCGGTGTTATGATCTTGTGACTCACAGGCTATATGTTTCTTGCCATGTTTTCTTTCTTGAACATCTTCCCTACTATACTCTTCCTTCCTTTCCTACTTCCGCCTCCAAAGATGAATTAGTGTGTCTTGACCAATTTCTTAGCGACGTCCAATATAATGAAAAGAATGTGTTTTGGCTTACCTATGAATGAGGTAGAGGCCACGTAAATGTAAGATTTCTGAAAGTTTTCTGTATATTCAATTGTGTAATAATACAAAGAATATATCTGATTATATAGTAAACCTAACCCCAAGACTAAAGGAAACACTGCTATATATACACCTAAAACACTACCACATATATAAACGTAACCTAAAGGAAACACTGCAATATATATACACCTAAAACACTGCCATATATATATATATATATACCTATACAATCACTCAGAAAAGGAAACACTGGCTAACCTAATATTCTCACATCCCTACTTAAACTCAAGGTGTTGTAGTAGAAAACACTCGGAGTTTGCCAAGAAGGAACTGAAACTGAGCAGTGGTGTGAGTCTTGGTAAAAAAGTCAGCAAGTTGTAGAGTCAAAGAGACGAAAAGAAGCGAGATAGAGTCGGACTGCAGATGCTGACGAACAAAGTGACGAACAAAGTGACCATCAATCTCAATGTGCTTGGTCTGTTCATGGAAGACAGGGTAATTTGAATGGCACTACGGTTGTCACAATAGAGGGAGGTCGGAAAAGACTGAGGGACACCCAAATCAGATAGGAAACAACGAAGCCAAACAATCTTAGCAGTAGCATAAGCCACAGCACGGTACTTAGCTTCAGCAATAGAGCGAGCAATAACAGTTTGTTTCTTGCTTTTTCAAGAGATCAAGGAATCGCTAAGAAACATACAGAAACCAGACGTGGACTTGCGATCAGTAACATCACCAGCCCAATCAGAATCAACATAGGCATCAAGTTGACTGATAGATAATAAACTGACAAATAACTGAGGAATATAAAGCACAGATGGAATAGAGACAACAAACATAGCAGACGGTAAGACAGACCCAACAGATATAACAGACATACCAGACCCATTAGCGGCATTAACAGTAATCGGAAAGGGAGGGGGAGTAAATTTTGAAGTAAGAAGAGATGAGGAGTCATATGATGAGAGGCATCAGAGTCAAAAATCCAGATAGACGAAGAGATACCTACGATTTTGAAGTAAGAAGAGATGGGGAGTCATATGATGAGAGGCAACAAAGTCAAAAATCTAGACAGACGAAGAGCTACCTAAAGAAGACCCAAGCAAACCTGAATGAAGAGAGGAAACAACCGAAACAGACGGGGAGGGCTGAGAAGTAGACAGAATATGCTGAAACTGACTAATTTGAGCACTCAAGGAAGCCAAGTCAGGATCAGGAGTTGGAGCAGATGTAGTAGAACTAGTGTGAGGCTGAATGGTACTCAGAGGAAAGGAGCAGAACTGGATTGGAAATTGCTGAAAAAACGAGGCAGACACACATAAAGTAGACATACATCCCTTTTTGGGACAATGATACTTTCAATGGCCCCTCTAATGGCAGAAGGCACACTCATCAGAAGCCAGAAGCTTCATAGTAACCAGAAAACTGAGGGGTTCAAATGTAATCAAACAAAATAGCCAAACCAGGGGTTCAAGTGTAATAAACCCAAAATAGACCAAAGTAACCAAATCAAGATCAGATGACCCGGCAACCTAGATGACCTGACGAACTAGTCGAACAAGAGAGAGAGAGAGAGCAGCCTAGTGTTCCAATTCTGAAACCAGATTAAACCAGAGAGCTCGCGATGGGTCGCGATACCAGAGTAGAAGAAAGAAAGAACTTTAGTGCTCAGAGGATCAGCGAACAAGGATCACTCGTGAGAACCACTTGACGAACCCGAAGTCGACGAAATCAAAGGAGAGAGAAGACCAGTAGTGAAAGGAGTTCCAACTGAAGGTCATGAACCAAAGAGGGGTCAAGACGGATGTCCTTTCAACTAGCGAAGACGAACCACGATGGCGATGAACTAGAGCCAAAAATCGCGAGATCCAGAGATGTCGGATGAACCAGAGATGCCGACCGTAAAGGAGTTGCGAACCAGGCTGGAGAACCTATGTGAATCAGACAACGACACAAATAGAGGACCAGACGAACCAAACCCAATCTCGAACCAAATAGGTCGCACGTATTCAGAAAGTTGAACCAAAGAACTCAACGAAGCAGAGAAGCTTGGACAATGGCTGCTTGGGTTTCGAACCTAGCTCTGATACTATGTAAGATTTCTAAAAGTTTTCGGTATATTCAATTGTGTAATAATACAAACAATACATCTGATTATATAGTAAACCTAACCCCAAAACTGAAGGAAACACTGCCATATATATGCATACAATCTCTCAAAAAAGGAAACACTGTCTAACCTAATATTCTCACAGTATATATATAATATATTCATGATACAATTTAGGAAACAATATAAACAATACAATCTACTAAAAATAAAAATATTTTGATTCCTATATCCAATACTCACCCTTAAGCTGGTGTAAAGACATTCAACAAACGCAGCTTGTCAATAGATGACTGGAGCAACATTGGTTCCACAGACTTTGTGAGCATATTTGCTAACTGTTGAGAAGAAGAGACAAAGGATTGACTCACAATGCTTGTCCAAACCTTCTCTCTAATGAAATGTATGTCAACCTCGATATGCTTAATGCGCTCATGAAGCACAAAATTAGAGGATAACATAATGGCAAATTTGTTATTACAAAATAAAGAGGAAGGAACCGTCTCCTTAAAACCTAATTCTGCCATAATAGAGCGAAGCCAAAGAATCTCACGTCCCATGTGCCACAGCCCTATACTCGGCCTCTACAGAAGATCTAGAAACAACTGTCTGCTTCTTACTTTTCCATGATATAAGATGACCACCATAGAAAGTACAAAAGCCAGAAGTGGAATGCTGATCAGTTCTAGACCCTACATAGTTCGCATTGGTGAAACAGGAGAGCCCAGATTGAAGACTAGTTGTGAAGCACAATCCTAAGCCAAGAGAAGTCTTCAAATAACTCAAAATGTGATGAACCGCGTCAAGGTGCTATTTACGAGGTGCATGCATGAACTGACTCACAACACTAACCGCAAATGTCAAGTTAGGTCAAGTGTTGGTCAAATAAATGAGGCATCCAACAAGGCACTGATACATGCCTAGGTCATCTAGCAATGCACCAGACTCTGACATGAGCTTGACATTAGGATCCATAGGAGGAGAAGTAGGTTTACACCCTAACATACCTGTAACCTTAAGCAAGTCAAGAATGTACTTCCTTTGAGATAAGGAGATCCCCTACCTTGAGCGAGCCACCTCAATTCCCAAAAAATACTTGAGACATCCTAGATCCTTAATATCAAAAGTTTAGCCCAAGTCTTTCTTTACTTGACGAATGCCGACAGAGTCATCGCCCGTGAGAATAATGTCATCCACATAAACTAACAAGACAATACACTAACACGCAAAATTACGGCGAATGAAACAAGTATGATTTGAGTGGCACTGAACAAAGCCTATAGATATGATAACAGAATTGAAGCAACCAAACCATGCTCGTGGAGACTGTTTCAGACCATATAAAGACTTGCATAACCGACACTTTCCCCGAATACTCTCCCTTAGCCCGAAAACCGGGTGGAGGAGCCATGAAAATCATCTCAAGGAGATCCCCATGAAGAAACACATTCTTGACATCAAGTTGATAAAGAGGCCAAGAATGTGATGCTGCAAGAGATATAGAGAGACGCACAAAAGTAAGCTTGGCGACAAGAGCAAAAGTGATGCCAAAATCCTTACCAGGAATCTGTGTGAAACCTTTGGCCACTAGGCGGGCTTTGTAACAGTCAATTGAGCCATCAACAAGGTATTTTATAGTGAACGCCCATTTGCAATCAACAGTACTTTCCCCAGTAGGTAAAGGTACAAGATCCCAAGTGATTCTGTTCTAAGGCCGCCATCTCAGTTTCCATAGCCTCAACCCATTTGGGATTATAGAGTGTCTTGGACACAGAACGAGGAATGGACTCCGATTCAAGCTTGCCAAAGAAAGAATGACAAGAATTGAAAACCTTGTCATAGGAGAGATACTGTGAAATTAGATGATTAATACTACTCAAATAACCCCAACAATTTAGAGAATGTTGATCCAAAGGTGGGTTATGAGGAGGTGGAGGAGACAGAGCTAAA